CCATTGCCATCCTTAATTGGTCCCATATTAGTATGCCAGTTAACCACACACGCCTCACTAATGACCAAGAAGGTGTAATGTGCAATTTCATGGATTAGCATAAATTCCACATTTTTCCTAAAGTAACTAAGATTTGAGAATTTGTAAAAGTGTTTAGTTACTTTGTATTTCATTATACTTATAATGGAAGGTTGTGTCCTATCCTACCCGTTTGGCTAACAACCCTCCACTAGTCAAGAGTGTGGTTAGTAAGAGTGGATACCCAAAGATGGTCATTTTATAGGCTGCTTCCTTAAATACCCCTTATAGAACAACTTCGTGAATGAGGCTTACTAATGGTAAGATTGACTCTTTACTCATACATATATAATATTACACTTTTAATTTTATATAGTATAAGGATGTACTTTACACTTTTAAAATACTTGGTGGTCCAATTTAATAAATTATACCTTTAATTTAATTAACCTTAAACCATATCATTATGGACTTATTAACTCTCTTTTAATTATACAATTAATTAATTTAATAAAGCCATAAGGGTGTAATTTGAACTTTTTCAAAATACAAGGGTTTTAGAATTTAATATTTCAAAAATAAAAATTTTAATCAAATATTCAAATTCCAAAACTTGAGGGAAAGTTTTTGAAACTTTTCAAAACTTTTCTAGATCAAATTACAAATAATTTAATTAATCAAATAATTTGTGATTTTCTAAATTTGACCTTATTCAATTTCCTTACAAGATAATTCAAATCAAAACTACAAATAATTAATCTTTATCTTATAAAATAAGTATTTATCTTAATTTTGACAAGTATCCACTATTTGGATTAGGATAATCAAAACCATAATGAAAAAATCGGATTTTATTTGTTAAAAACGTTTTTGGTAATTATCCCAAGCCAAAATAGGTCAAAATCCCAAAAAATCTGGCATCTGACTGTCACACCCCCAAACCAAGGATGGCGGAAACGTCTAGGGGTGGAGGACCTCATGTACAGTATCATAACAACAAGTATAATAGTCACCATAGCAAACACAACCAACATAAATATAATTGAAAAAGTTATACCATAGTATAAGTTTACATGTGTCTAAATCAATTGCATTATGTTAACAAAAATGAAATGTTTGACGCCTTAGCGTCCCATCATCAAAAGCAACCGATTACCTGTTTTACTGATTTCTTGAGAATACAAGTAGTTTTAAAAGAGTGTCAACAATTAAGTTGGTGAGTTCATAAGCTTTTGAATGAAATGTTGAAATCCTTTCTTTGTAAAAGTAAAGTTTGTTCCAGAAAAGTCCAATATTTTCCTTTTAAAATGTATTGTAGTCTTAAATGTCAAGACTAATAATGTACTAGTATTTTACATATAAATTGTAAATCATGCAAGTTTAAATTGACATAAACTCATTTAATTAAAAGAAAATCCCATAAATCTTATGTTTTGTTAATACCCCATGTGAGTTATTATAACCATGCTATGACTCAGTCAGCCTTGTACATGACGTTCTTTAGGCGTCGGAATGTTAATGACATTTGTCACCCTAGACCTGTCGGTCTAGTTGTTGCATGCAGCCAAGGTGTGCATTTGTCAGAACCGATATAGATCTATGCACAACTATCAATCTCTCCCTACAAAAGACTCTGGTTACAATTATAGGACTTTGGATGCGCTACTTTGAAAGTAACGTGAAGTGAATGTCTCACAAATTTATTCATTAGCAGATTTACGGAAAGTGAACTGAAAACCCCTTTTTGTAGAAGTGTACTCTTTCGTGGTGTGATGTAAATATCACATAAAATATGCCTTGTTATAGTTTATCCTAACCGTTTGTAATGTATATGAAACATAAACTATACATATTATAGTTTATCAACATGTTTGTAACATATAGAAACCTTTTCTGTGTAAGTAGAATGTATAGCAAAAACATAACTATGTTGATTATGCCTCATCTTGTATTAATTGTAATAATAAAGGGCTCTTACAATTCAGTGAACGTTCTCTGTTATATAATTATGTCACAACAGAAAAAACATGCAAAATATAAAGTCATCAAAGATTAAAACTTTGCTCAACATGTTACAAAGTGTTATGAAAGTTGTAAACTGTAACTTTGTTTTTACCATTTCTGCACCAATTTAGAAAAATGACAGAAAAATCATACGAAGTCAAAAACTAAATCCATAAACTCTGAGAGTTTAGAAAATGTGTCTAGTTTGTTCATAAAATTTATTATCATTTTTAGAAGTCTCTAACTGGAGTGAAAATGTTCATATTCACATACCGGTTCGAATTCATAGCTACAGTGATAGGCAGTTTTGTAAAAATCACCATAAATTTTAGAAAAATTGTGTGAATACGTGAAAGTAATCATTTTAAAGGTATGAATCTGAACTATTTTCATATTAAACAATTTTGAAATATTTTAAGTTTAATCCGATCAAAACAGTCCGTGAATAGAACTTAACTTTTCTGCGGAAAGCTGATGTTTGAGTTTTGTTAAGTTTTTGGTGATTTAACTTGTATTCTACCCCTAAAACTTGAATAAAACATGAAAATGTGGGGGTATGAACTCACCTTGAGTGATCTCTTAGAATGTATGGTGAAGGGAAGAAGTTTCCAAGTCAAGAACACTTGGGAGATGCTTGAAGATTCGAAGATTCTATGAACAAATATGATGATATTTGTGTAAGTAATCCATGATTTGAGTGAAAGGATGTAAGATAATCAAGTGTAGGATAAATTTACTTACCAAAATTAGAGGTGAGTGCTCAAGAACAGCCTTCAATTTCGGGTTTAGAGAGAGAAAGTGAGCGAGAGAAATGGGTTTGCTTCTTGGTGAAAGTGTAAGGAACGTAGGGGGAGAGGTAAGGATTTCTAGCCCTTGTTCAGGATCATATGGTGGACAAAGAGGGTGAAAGGACAAATATTTGACTAGGTAGTGATGAATAGTGACTGAGTATGGTCTTGGAGTGGGTGTGGAGGATAACTTGTATCATAACTTTAAGGTAAACTCAACACTCCACCTCAATATCTTACCCACTAGATATTATTCTTAGACAAAGATTTCCCTTAAAATGTGTTTAAATTATGAATATATAGGGTCTTATATTTCAAAATATGAGTTTGGGTGAAAATCTCACGTCAAAATCATGAAAAACAGGCTTAAAACGCGAAAGTGGTCGAAAACCGGGAAAAGGAAGCGAAATACACGAAAAGCCGAAATCTGGGCTGGAGGTTTGGTCCTTGGTGCTTAGAATCGAAGGGAGTGTTCGGCTGTTGATGAGAACTGAGAGGAGTTTGGCCAAGGGATCTCGCAGGCGAAGCGTCAGAGGGAACCGAAAGCGAAGGTAGTGAAGTGAAGGCGAAGGCGAATGGAAGGTTGGGTCCGAAGGGACCTTCGGTCCTCCAAGGTTCGGTTTCGATCCTAAAGTTTCGATCCTGGTAGTTTCAGTCTATGTGAGTTTGGTTCTTTAGGCTTCGGTTCTCAGTCAAGTTCGACTCTTTAGAAGGTTCGGTCTATGATAGGTTTCAGTCCAGGAGGCTTCTTAGGGGTTTCGGTGCTATATAACTATTTTACCTATAAACTTCCCGTTTTGTGTGGTTTTTGACTATGTTAAGGGTCGATATGCCCCAAATGATTATATAAAGTTGAGGGAGGTTATGAGAGAAATTTGAGAGAGATTTGAGATAAAGATAGATTGAGAGAGACTTTGTTTGTGACCTTTGCAAGTGTTTAGCTTCGAAATTCAAGGTTTGAAAACCCCATTAAGCCTCGTTATGAGTGTTATATGTCCCCTAAGGGTATGAAATAGTGTTTTTATCGAGTAGCTCCATCACTTATCCTGATTAGGGTTTAAAATTTCTCAACACATGAAACTTTCAAGTGATACTTTCTATTAACATAGCAAGTTGTACAACTTTAAACATAATACAAACCCTAATATACTAGGGTTAGCTAGTTGATCGTTTGACTTGTTGACCTTATTTGACTTTGGATAAACCAAAATTTTACGGTTGTCACACTAACCCTCCGACTCGTCGAGCCAACTTTGGACTCGTTGAGTTGCCAGTGAACTCGACGAGTTCACATTTGGACTCGGCGAGTCAAGTATCCAGATTCAGATTTTCGTGATTTTCAGCTTTGAATGATTAAACATAACATCAGATGCATTAGATAAACAACCTAGGCTCTGATACCACTGATGGGTTTTGGGCATTACATCAATCCTATGGTGCACATGCAAACCCTAAAGCTTTAGATCTAGTTTATCTAATTGTTCATGCAATAATCATCAAAAGCTCATGAACCCTAGATCTAGCATACTATAATTGAAATCACATATGAAAATAGGGTTTAGATCTTACCTTGATTGTTATGTAGCAATAACAATCACAATACTTCTTGATCTTGACTTCTAAAATCCTAGTACCCTAAGTGTTGTGCCTCTAATGGAGTCACAAACACCACTAGCAATAAGGATGACTTAGGAGAGGGAGGAGGAAGCGCAAAATTCGTCTAAGGGATCTCTTAGAAGCTTAGGGATGATTTTAGGGATCCTTGGGGTTCCTTTTATAGTTAAGGATCCTAGGGTTTACAACTTGGAAACCCTAAGTCCATTGATTAGGTCCTAAGCAACTCATGGATCCCCATATAGCATTCCTTTGACGAAGTTGTATGGGCTCCCTGTAGATTTCCGTCCATCCTATGCTAATAGGATCCATTAGCCCAAACTACAACTATTACTGATTTACATAATCAGTTCCCGCTAATTTAATTAGTCTCTTTTGTTCACCAAGTTAATTTCAAATTAATTTCTGATCAATACTAATTAAATAAAATGATTTGTCTTTTAATATATCATTCTTATAATATATTAATAAATCATAATTAATCATTTCTCTCCTTAATTCATCTTATCAATTGCTATGGTGAAGGCAACCCAAAGGGACCATGCTCATAATCGGGTCAAGTATATACCAAAATAGTTATGGGCTTAGACACCTTAATCGAACATCTTCCTTTTTCCATGATCTAATCTGAGGCATCCATGAATAGTCACTACAATGCTTCTTCGATGGAAGGAGGGATGCCGGTGGGGATGCTGGTCTCTTTCGGGAAGGGATCGTCGTAGTCTTCCTCGGGGTAACCTGAGTATTAGTAAAACGGGATCGGTATGACCAGAGAGTGGGAAGGGGTGGTGAGATCTCTAAGGAGTTGGTTGTTTCCTCCTCGTCCTCATCCGGCTCATAGTTTGAGTTGATATGCTCAGGATCAGCTTGTGTGTAATCAGACTCGGAAGTGTTCAGACTGATGGGGTCGGCTTGTGTGTAATCAGACTCCATAAGCCAGATCCCATCGCTATCCTCCATCAGCTCTTCTTTAAACACCATGCTCATCATTGTAGGGTTGGTAGTGCCAGGTACTAACCGCTCCTCCACTGGAAAGGAAGCCACCCTCTGTGATCCTGCATTCGTCATGAGTCTTCAGCAAACCTGTATAAGATATCAAACATGAAGGATATTTTGTAAGAGATGTGAAGATCAATTATATACAATGTAATATCAAATTATAAGAATGTAATAGATAGTGCCGACAACTCTTGAGTCTCCCTACTATGTTGTTAGTCACGAATAGCGATTCCTAAGCCAAAAATCCTCGAGTGTAGATGTCTCTAAGCTAGAAATCCTCAGATGTAGAAAGCCTCTAGAGAGAAATCTCTATGTGTAGAATCTTTGAAACTAAACTTCCAATCCAAAAGTCGTGAAGTGTTTAGATTACTAACCATCGTATCCAAGTTCGGTCGTGCGTCGGTCGGACCATAATAAAAACTTAGTTGCACATTATAGGTATAGCTGTGGTACGGCCGTTGTACTATACCAACTCTAAATATTGTTTTTGACCAAAATTCTTGAGTTATGATTTCATGAATTCCTGTTGTGGGTAGTATATATATATATATATATATATATATATATATATATATATATATATATATATATATATATTTGAGCATATTTATAGTGCTATATATCTTTAAATCTTTGTTTGGTTGTGTGTATTTTATTAATTTTTAGGGTTCTATACTTCAACACTATCAAATAAGGATCAACCAAGTGAGAAGTAGCGGATGGTAGGACCATTTGGTGTATAGCCGTTCTGAAATCCAGCAGCCCAATTGATAGTTCCAACTAAACACCTCTCTCGTAAGTAGTCGATAAGTAGTGTAATTAATAATAATACTTTTTAATGTATTAGGCTTATGGGTTAGACCTAATTAGAGTGTAGCCCTAGGTTATACTTGTATTTTCTAAGGAATTACTTGTTCGCTACAATCTGAAGCTCTGATACCAATCTATCATGCCCCTGACCGAGCAGCAGAAACACCAGGTTGTACGAGTTAGTGACGTTGGATCTCAGGCAATAGACGTGCATTGAATAATATAATGGAATATCATGCAACATTACTTTTTATTCATTGAATAAAATATATAACATGATTTTTCGAGATACATGTATGTCACAAAAGCAAAGTATAATAGCAGAACACATAAACTTCTACGTGCAACACCTGGGTTACTTCCCTCGTCTTCTGGGATCATTCTCCTGAGAATACACGTGAGTTAAAAGTCAACATAATGTTGTTGAGCCCACATGTTTTATTCTTATAAAAATATCTTGTGGTTGTTTAGTTATCTTAGAGATCCCGATCTTTCTCCTTCGAGTTGAGTGTAATGTCACTACTTTCTTAGGTTAATTCTTAGGAGTAGTCTATGATAGTTAGTTATTGTTTAAAAATGTTAGAATGAGGTCCTATAATCGAGCTATGACTATTGAATTCCCTGAAAACCACGACGCTTCATCAGATGTTGCAAATGTGTTTAGAAAGTTATGTATGCTTCGACTTGTCGTCAGGTTGTAACTAGCAACCACAAGTGGGAGTGTCAATCATGTATGGATCTATTTTCGTTAGGTTGTAGCTAGAAACCACAAGTAAGAGTCACAATCCCTTAGGATCTATACATATCTTTCCCGCCCACTTAAGATTTAACGATTATAGGTTAGGGCTAGCTGAAGGTTATTCAACGTGTTGATGAATCGTATCTCATTTAACACTTGTTGTAGGGCCTCCTCTGGTTGATCGTGTTGTCATTCTTTTTTTTATTTATGTCAAATATTATTATTATTATTATTATTATTATTATTATTATTATATATATATATATATATATATATATATATATATATATATATATATATATATATATATATATATATATAGGGAAAAGATCAAATAAGAACACTTAAAAGGTTGAGAACGCGAGAACAGTTCTTGACCAATCAATATATAAGGGTATATTAGTAATTGTATATTTTAATTAAATAAAAATAAAATAAAATTCAATCACATCCCTTAAATTTAGGATCAGTTACCAAAAACAAATTTATATTCAATTTTTTATTTTTCTTATTAATAAAATATATAAAACATTTTTACCAAAATTTATTTTAAAACTGAAAAAAAAATTAATTTTATTTCTTAAAAAAATCAAAATTTTCTCGTATTTCACTTTTTTTTTTTTCAAAAAATGAATAGAAATCCAATCCCAAATGAATACATTTGTATTCAAAAATGAAAATTTTATTCAAAAAACCTAATACGACTCCAATCACAAATGAATAAACTTCAATTTTCAAATAATCAAATTTACAAATAATCCAATGCCTTTTTTCATGAAATAAAAATAAAAATAGTATAAAAATTATCATTTCTTAAAAAGTGAATACCTTTAATCATAAATAGATACACTTATTCACACATGAATATAATGTTATTCAGAAATAAATACAGTCATTCACATACGAATAGACTATTATTCACAAATAAATATGCTGCTATTCATAAATAAATACAAAGTAAAAATAGTGTAAAAATTAATATTCCTTCATAAAATGAATACATCTGATGATAAATGAATACATCCAATTATATATCATCCAGCGAACCAAATCGCTAAATATACACACCAATTGGCTAACACAACCTTGCACTCTTTCTTATGCTTGGACTATTTCTTCACCCAATTTTACACACAAGCACCATTTCAATTCACAATAAATTTGGTACAATCAAAATCACGTCCTTCACATCTAAAAATTGATATGGCCAGATTTTCTTTGATCTTCAAGAAGAAATAAAAGTTCATCGAAATATAAACTGAATTCATTTAACTCTTCCCTTGGCTTCTTCCTTCCTTTTCCAAACAAATCAACCATACACCCTATTGAATGTTGTAACAGTAGTTGGTAACACAGTTGCCTCCCTCTTTCTTCTCCCCTCGACAGTAAGAGAACAAATGGTGCTTCTTTCCACCCATTAATCAACCAAGAATTAGATCCAACCACTTGTTTGGACCATTCAAACAAATCAGCCTCAACCCAAACATTAATCAATTTTCAATCAAAACAATCAAAAGAAAACATCCCAGTTCATTATCGATACAAGTCGACACAAAAAAATATGAAACAAGAAGGTTACCTGTTAGTCGGCTGCTTCCGTTTATCTTTGTCCCTTCAATCAGGACAATACCCAATCAAATTCACTAAGTTGGGATGATGTAAAAGGCTAAGCATAAGAACTTCAATAAGAAATTCACAGTTACCCTGAAGCCCGTTTCTATCCTATTGTTTCACAGCTACAACCTATTATAAAAGATTACATAATTTTGTAAGTTATCAGATTATATATACTTTGAAACAATAGATAAAGATTGTAGAATCAGAAAAAAAAAAAAAAAAGAATGATTATACCTGACCACTTCCCTGAAGACGTCCTCTATAGACATGGCCGAAGCCTCCCACCCCTAAAAAGCAATCAGGGTTGAAATTGTTAGAAGGGGTAGATGGGTGAACTTCAGGACGATCAGCCCCAACCTTTTGATGATTTGATTTTTCCTCCACCCTTGAATCAACGCAAGAAAAACCCATTAATCCCCCTTGCGCTTTCTCTCTCTCTCTCTCTCTCTCTCTCATTCACACTCGATTTTGACCAAATTAATGGAGTACATATGCAAGAAACCGAAGACCCATCCGCTCATCTTCTTCACACCCAGTGGCGGCTGGAATAAGAAGAGGCCCTAGGGTTGTGAAAAATGCAGAAGCGGGGCTATAGAGGGAGAGATACGAGAGAGAGAGAGAGAGAGAGAGAGAGAGAAAGAGAGAGATAGAGAGTGATTGTGAAATCCTGCCATGTCGTCTGCACGAGAAACGGGGTTAAGAAGTACGTATCGGAAAATAATAATTTGGCGCTATAGAAACGTACAAATACTCCTATAGTATTTTTAAATGTTTATATTTGGTTCTTAGCGTGTTCTTTATGGAGTGTTATTAGGTTTTCAGATTTGTCGCTCATTACGACTATTCCTTAGTGTGCGTAAGTTACTTCTTGGACGGATATAGTTGATCAGGCTATATCCTTCCCAGAACTGATTACACATGCTAAGGCGTATTAATAATGTTCGACTCCTCCTCTTTCAATTTATGTTCTCCCAAGTTATGACACCATGCTAGTATAGAATGCATGCAAGTATACTTTAAAACAAGAAATTATTTGTTTTCTAAAAGTACAACTCTTTAAATCACTTTAAGAATCAGAGACTTTTTGTCCCAAATGTGTTTATAGTTTGTATATCTTATGTGGTTGACATACTTAATTCACTATAAACCGTGCTCTGATACCAATCTGACACACCCCCAAACCAAGGATGGCGGAAACGTCCGGGGGTGGAGGACTTCATGTATAGCATCATAACCACAATTTTAATAGTAATTTAAGCAAACACAACCAACATATATATAATTGAAAAAGTTACATCACTTGTATGAATTACATGTTTCAAAATCAATTACAATATGTTGTCAAAATATGAAAAGTTTGACGCCTTAACGTCCCATCCTCAAAAGCACTTGATAACCTGATTAGTGTTTTCCTGTGAATACAAGTTGTTTGAAAAGTGTCAACACAAAGGTTGGTGAGTTCATAAGCTTTTATTAATAAACTTAGTAGAAGTCTTTCACATGTAAATGTCGCGTTTGTTTCAAAAAAATCCGATATTTTCCTTGAAATCCGAAAAATGTAGCCTTACAACCAAAGACTAGAATGTATGAGAAATCATCGTTTCTTAGTAGAAATGTTGTGAGTTTAAAATGAAATGGAAAGTAAATTTATTTTATCAACCTAAAACCTACTTCGGTTTTATGAAACCCCGTAAACTTTATGAATTGTTGTCTCCCTAAGTGAGTCGCTATAATCATACTGTGACTATGTGAACCTGCCACAACGTTTCTCAGGCGTCGCGAAAATGAAATGACATTTGTCACCCGTAGACCTGCAGGTCCCACTGTAGCTAGCAGCAAGGTGTGGGGTGTCAAACCCAATATAGATCTATATACAAGTATCGCGTTCTCCCTCAAGGAGATT